ACGTGCATGGTCACCTCCCAGTTACCTAAAGTATTCTAATGCACTGTGATATGTTCACTACGTGCATGGTCACCTCCCACTACCTAAAGTATTCTTATGTACTGTGATATGTTCACTACCCTACACGTATAGCATGAATATCTTATATATACGATGTACGATTAAACAGGTGCCTACCGTACCTTGCAGGAACAGTGCAGAAGTACCCTTAACGTCATCACCTTCAGGATCCTCGTCTTCTTCTTCTGATGACCCCCCCTCCCCTCGGTCCTTTTGTAACATCTTTTTAATATCTTTTCCAGCATTCGTAAGCTCGTCATCTTCCTCGCTTTCGCTCGATTCGGCATTCAGGTCATCTTTTGTATCGGGTTTGGAAATGTCGACCTTGATATCTTCTAATGATTGAATAAGAATGATATATGAATTCTTCAATATCAAATCCTTTTAAGACAACTTGATTCAATCTTCAATGGTCTTTGAAAATGCAAAACTTTCCTTACATGAACTTTACATTACACACTAACTCTACATCTAATTTAAAGGCAGTCTATTAACACGAGTCATCATCATGTGGAGTTAGCTGGCACTCAAGGAGACCACTATGGGAGAACCTACCTAGCACTTAGTCGATGTAAGTACGTTCTTTTATTTTCCATATTGTCCGCTATAAACACTCCCAATCGACTTTCCTACCTGATGACGATGATGAGTCTGACATGTAATCAACTTCCTTAGAATCAAAATATCCATCTTCTTCAGACGATGCGTCACTTTCTTCATCTGTACCCCCTTTCTTTTGCTTTGCTTCGCCTTTCTTCTTGCTCCTATTCATTTTCTTGATTTCTTTACCTATGGGGTACATAATTTACACGAAAGCTAGCTACTCGTTGACTTTATATGAGGRTGAGTGAAAGGGGGAGGACTACTACAGGCCTCCCTTTCTTCCCCCAAATGAAAATATATATACCTTTCCTAACTATTATAACCTTTTATRTCACATCACCATTAAGTAGTACCATGGTGTGTTTTACAATGCGCATAGAACGGATATAAACAAATATGCAACATTACACACTGACTGAAAAAAATCGGTACGTTTAGTAACAGACAGTATATAAATGTCCGTCWGTAGTTATGTAGTACATATGGATGGATGGATGGAGTAGCAAAGTAAGCTTATTTTCTCTTAGATATTACATCGACAGAAGTCGTCCCTCTGAAGCGTGTGAAGGAGTGCAGGCGGAGTAGCGAGTTTTACAAAGATCACAACACTCAAAAGRACACCAAAGTAAGCTTATTTTCACATCCATAACATAGCACAGATAAAAAATTGTTCTTCTCTCCACAAAACCCAACATGCGAAATTGCAATTCGCTTTGTGACTCCCTAGTTCATATCAAAATTAACTCAGAGATGTTTCAGGGTTCAAGGAAATTGAAACACAAACATCTAGTTTACCTGATTAGTGCGTGTGATGTGTCAGGGGGTGACTTTGCGAATCTTTTCATGATAATTTCACCTACATACTATTTTCAAAGTATGTAAGTTTATAAAAGTTTCCAGTGTTACCAAGTCGCTCTTCTTCCACTGATTTCAAATTGGAATTTAGAACGGTTGATGTTTGATGAGGGAGCAAAACCGGAGAATCCGAAGAAAAACCCTTAAAGTACAGGAGAAAACCAAAAACTCTGCTCATATATGACAGTTGCCAAGTCTGGGAATCTAAACCTAGTGACAGTGGTTGGAGGGATTTCATGATTGTTTTGGCCTCCTGTTTTGGCCCCCAGTTTTGGTAGCCTCTTATAGACCGGCTTATAGACCGACACGAATATCGTCTGCAAAGCAGGCTATTGTTTTAGTCGTCCTACCTTGAGCATTGAATATTTTGTCTCTGACTGGTTTATCATCATCCTCATCATCGTCATCATCAGAATTGGACATTTTTAAATCTTCATCATCAAGAATTTTCTGGGGAAAAAAAACAAATAAAGAAACAGAAGTCAGGGAGATCTACATGAATACAACAAAGATTAAATACGCATTAGTAAAGAGAGTGAAAGGGAAAAACGTTATTGCTAATGATCCAATACGTTGACAACAACTCCCTAATATTTCAAACCTCTGAGAAAATAACGTCATTAACATATTGGAAGTATAAACCTTCATAACATTCAAATGAAGAAATATTTCACCATTCAATTATTCACTTGATGTGAATAGTATTGTATCAGGGGTTAGGTGCACTTCAAAAAAAAATGAGGGGCTGGCAAAAATCTTTCACTTTGTCATCCACTTTCATTGTTGGTCATTGTTGAGGTTTCTACAGGCGAGTCTGCAGCTCTATTGCTATACTTTTTCTGGCTTTAATTTAAGCTTCCATACTTGTCGAGTTCAAAAAATTAAAGTGATTTAAGTCCACCTGTCAAGAAAGAAGTTCTTCCCAATTGTAATTTTCGTATGATTTCTTTTTTTCTCTCTCTCTCTCACGTTCCTTAGTGGTTGAAACACTTTCTAAGCTGCCTAGTGTACTGCAAGTGTTTTAGATACTACAATGAACTTTTTAATTTTTGAGAACTCTTCAACATGTGAGAACTCTTCAACATGTGAGAACTCTTCAACATGTGAGAACTCTTCAACATGTGAGAACTCTTNTGAGAACTCTTCAACATGTGAGAACTCTTCAACATGTGAGAACTCTTCAACATGTGAGAACTCTTCAACATGTGAGAACTCTTTATCTCTGAAACCAAATTGATATTTAAATACAATATTATTTTTATCAATATGTGATATATTACGACGTTTGCGCATGAGTTTTTTCTAGAATTTAGGAAAACCGGACAGCATAGATTTTGTTCCATAACTGGTCAACTCCATACACAGTGGACATTTTTTGAAAATTTCAGTTCATTTGAAAACAATCCCAAGAGGTATTATATAGTTTACATTAACTAAAGGATGATTGTCAATGTGCTACTGGGCCGTACTCCATCAATGGAGTGGGCTTATATAATAACTGGGAGGAAATAAGACAGGTGGCCAGGTTGCGACCAGGGGGACTCATAACTGGGATTCTACTATCATGTTTATTACCATATTGCTTGGTACTTTGATTCCCCCTTTTTCCTTCTCCAATTCTTCCTCATCATCATTATTCTGAAGCCTCTTCTTGACCATTAAGGAAAAGTAGTTAACAGTCTTGTCACGCCTGAGGAATTCTTCTTCAGCTTCATCTGTTGTTAATGTTCTATAATTTATATTTGGAGTGAAGTTGTACCATGAAGTCACAGGAACTGCTTCAAACGCTCCATCAGGGCACTGAGTCAAGATGTAATAGTTTGAATTCTCATTGATCCCTGCTTCCTTCCTTCCAGAGTACCTAACCGGAGATTTAAAAAAAAATTAATGTTTAAATAAAAAAAGACCAACTTGGTTTATAGAGGATCACACTTGACAGCAGTTCAACTGGTAAACTTGTGGTCCTCTTTTATCTTCTTTAGTTAATTAGGGACAGGACCATCATTAACGTGGTCATCCAAGCCACATGAAGGTTTAACCATTTGTAGGGTAACCAGTCATTTCGCCCACGGACCATTTCGCCCACGCCAATTCGCCCACGCATAAAATCATCGATCATGCGTTTGCCAATTCGCCCACGTGTAGAATCACTTTAAGAAATATGATACCATGACTAAAAAAAGGCAGTTCGTGATTTACCAATCGGTACCTACCAACCCTACTTGACGCTTAAGCTCAAGACTTCAAAACGCGAACTTTTTATACGAATACCGGTCGTTTCGCTACCACGCACTTTCACTACYGCCGGTTCGCTACCACCCGGAGTCCTTTCGCTACCATCATGAAGTCCTTTCGCTACCATAGGAAATTACCAAAACAAAACTTCGATGAGACTTGTTAAAAAGAAACATAGCCTCTTGAAAAACATTTGTAAATGATTTTGAAGCATATTTGGAGCGATCATTTCACGATACGATCAGTGAAAGTGGAGATCTAAACGCGACCAAGGACAGCGTTCACTTAGCTGCCATATCGAGTCCGTTTCTACCAACTTATGACTCGGATGACTTTATTTCCCTATTTCCCTATACTCTAATCTATGAAATGTGTGTTTTGGGTAGCTTTACCATTCTTTATTATTTTTTACTTGCCAAAGTTCGAGTCTAATGGATTCTAGGTAAAGAAAGCGTCAGTAAACGACTAGGAAGCTTGTTGATTACACGAAAACAATATAGCGTCGCTTGTCGATCGATGTTCAATAGGCGTAAAGGTATTTTGGCTTTTCTAGCTCGAACCTTGGCAAGTCAGAAGCAAACTCGCCCACGCTTTGTTTCTGACTTCTTAACAACACGTTCAAGCTTATTGACTGATTAATTTATTGAACATAAAGACTAGTAAATTGTAAATAAATGAAACAACCGAGTTTAAGTCCGTCAAGCAGGATCTGATTAACCTGTCTTTCTTTTCTATCGAAATCTCCTACAGCTGTTTTTACAGCGTCCTCTGTTACGACTCAGTGAATTCGAGACGCTGAAATAATTTGCCCGAGAAGCGAAGACCGAATTTCCTGTTTTTTGTACCATGGCTACTCAAATAAGAAGACAGTTTGGTTAACAAGTTTGACAAAAAGTTTAAAAACCGATTCAAGATGCTGTAAAATTTAGAAACCGATTAGGCGGCATATAATACTATAAAGCTATGGCGTCAGGCGTCCTTCGACGGATAATACGGATATATAAAACTTTGTGTTCTAAGAAGTATTTATGTCAAGTAAGCCAAATAACGATAAAAAAGTCTAGAAGTAATTCATCTGAGGTTTAAAAAGGCTAAAGTGACATTTACATTGGTTTATAAGTTGTTTCGTTCGTTAGCGAGTTAGCGTAGGCGAGTCCGTTATGGCGTATAAAAAGTTCGCGTTTTGAAGTCTTGAGCTTAAGCGTCAAGTAAGGTTGGTAAACCACGAACTACTTTTTTTTTAGTCATGGTAACATATTTCTTAAAGTGATTCTACACGTGGGCGAATTGGCGTGGGCGAATTGGCAAACGCATGATCGATGATTTTATGCGTGTGCGAATTGGCGTGGGCGAAATGGTCCGTGGGCGAAATGACTGTAAACCATTTGTAGATGTAATTACAAAGGCATCACTTTCTCCTCAGTTATTTTAAGATTCTGAGTGTTGGTCCAGCCCAGACTCCAACTACAACATACTACACAGTCAAACAAAACAAACGAACAAAGAAATAAATAAACAAATTAAAAATCATCTATAACCTCTTTCCTCCTTTCCCACCAATTTTAAGGTTCCAAGGAGCTGCATCAGGATCTTCCACTTTCTTTCCATATCCTCTTCGTCTCTTCCTTGCTTCTTCTCTTCTTTCTCTTCCATATTCACTGCCTGCTCCACTTTTTGGCATGGAGTCTTCTTCTTTTTCCTGAGTTGAAGCAGTAGGTCTACTCATGGATACCTTTAGAATTGAATATAATATTCAACATGAATGTAGTGAATGCATTTCATTAAAATACTTTCACAACAACAATATAATTGTATATTTTGATCTTTTGTTTCCTTTACATTAACGAGTAGATCCCAGTCATGCATCTCAGTACTCATTAACCTAAAAGAATCATCAGGGGAAAGGGCAGGGGAAGGGCAGAAAGAGGAGGAGGAAAGTAATAGGGTAGAATAAGGATGAAAGGAAGAAAAAGAAAGGGGGATGAAGCAAGTAGGATGAAGGAGGACAAAGAAAGAAGTATGGAGGGGAATGAAGAAGAATGAAGGAAGAAGAAGGAAGGAAAACAAAGGAAGGAGGACAAAGGAACTTAGATGATGAAAGAAAAAGAATCAAGGAAATAGAATGAAAGAAGGTGGACAAAGGAATTAAGTTGGATGTAGGATGTAGGAAAGAGAATGGAGGAAGGAGGATAAAGGATAAGGTGGACGAAGGAAGGAGAACAAAGGAAAGAAAATAAAGAAAGGATAGAGGAAGTAGAATAAAGAAGAATAATCCAACCTTTGTTAAGTTGGATAGATCAGGCTTTGACCCTGATTGAAAGCGCATCATGTAGTATTTCTTGGCTAAATTCCTTAAAAAAACAAGCATTTCTAAATCAGTGAAACAATACAAATGTAAATATTGATTTACAATTCAATTGAATTGTATTACACTACATACACTACATACACTATGTGCACAGGAATCAAATTGTCAGGGAAATTCTATTCAAATTCAAATTTCAATATGAAATTTCATTCAGCTAGTTGTGGTAGCCTACAAATAGCATACTTTTTGCTATATAAATATCTTTGTGCATACACTTCATTAATGAAGCATCRTTTATGCTCAATTTAGTTGGTATTAAATGAGTAATCGTCCTTGGATTTTCTTTTTAATATTTATTTCTTAAGTTCTTTGTTTACTTATTTTGTTGAGTTTTGAAGCAAATTCGGTGAAAAATTGATTGTYTGAACTTCAAGAGGTTCAAGAGAAGACTTTGACAGAGTTAACTGGTTCAAGTATTTGCTAATACTTTGTCTGTATCGATAATAGAGTCTTCTGAAAAGCAGAATGGGATTTTGTTTTTAATTTCAAAGCTGGACTGAGAGATTTATTCCAGGAATCATTCGGCCTTAGGAGTCTTCAAAAGTGAATACAAGATAAGAATTAATTGTTGTTTATGACACAATCGGGGACAATCATATAGACTTCGACTCATATGTCTTGATTGAACGACACAAAAAACTCCAAATCTACAGTATAACAGTCCAAGATAAAAACAGGTCAAGATAATAGCATTTATTTCAGTATTTTCAAAAATAATCCATATTACAAAGTCTTAAACTTGTTTCTATGCATATTCACAATTTTTAAAAAGGGACCAAGCAAGCAATTTATTGGTGGCTGAGTGGTTAGGTTGTAGGTTAATACTAGGGTTAGGGATAGACATTGTCGTATAATAATCATTTGGACGAAGGGTGCTGGTGGTGCTGGTGGTGCGTGAGGAGAACCAAAGTCCAACTCGTGTGTTCAGAAACCTAGGAAAATTATATTTGATATTTTCAAAAGATCAATCTTTTCCTTCAAATCTTTATTTCTATTTTATAAAACACTGACAATGCCAATTCACATATGGTTTATCTACATATTGTAGGGTTTAAAGAATGTTTAGCTCCAGAAAAACACTTAAACCTTGAAAATGTCCATCGATACACAATGATATTTTTAGGACTTTTTAAAAATTTTGCATTTTATCATAGGCAGATTTGGATGAATGCATATGGATAGAGATAGCAATATGAATAATATATGAATATAGATACACAAGGCAGTCAACATACACATACTCCAGACCATGTAGCACTCTTGACTAGTATCTTGTGCAGATCTCAAATTGGTCTTATAATGAGTAATAATGTCATTTATTATATAATTACCAATGAAATATCTATTTTTCTCTATTTCGAAAAATTGATATCTTCACACGTGAAAATAACATGTTATTTTCACGTGTGAAGATAACACCATTGCGATGACTATTCAAAAATACACGGAAATAATTGCCTGAAAAAGCCAAAACATACTCCATTGATAATTATATAATAAACAGAATATTACATGGGCGCTTGGAGATACGAAGTTTATCTTCTCGTGTTGAAAATCTCTCACTCGTTCGCTGCGCTCACTTGTGAGAGATCTTTTCAACACTCGAAGATAAATTTCGTATCTCCGCGCGCCTATGTAATATCCTCTATATATGCCCATACCTTGGTACTCTGACTTTATACTCAGTAAATGGTTCATTACTTGATGTCAATGACTCTCCTGGTGATGGTGATGATCTACCTGATATCTTTCCTTGTATCTTTGAATTAAAGTAGACAGCAAATCACTTATCATTTGTTACTGTACATGTATACATACAACATTAGACACTATAATTTTAGACCTCAATATAGAGTTCTACACTCTGTGATTGGCCAAGCGGCCAGTGACTACAGTATGTTAGGGGTTTGAGTTTATTACTGAGAACGGAGGCAATAAGCCATACATACACCCCAAGGGCCACAGGCCATATACATGTAAAGGCTTATTTCCAGGTTCAAGGTAATTAAGCTTGTATTGTATTTATCAATTGAGAAGGTTTTCCTGCATTTTACCCTTACCATAGTTGAATGTTTTAGTTTTGAGGCTGATGAGGGGGTCCGTCAGGGGGGGTGGGCTATAGCCTTCCACCTTTTCCCAGGCCATACTACTTTTATTAATATATTTTCCATTTCTTAGCCCCCACGTTTAATAGTTTAAAATAATTATGACTTTGCTTATATAGCACAAAATGCATACAGATATGATCCAATGCACTTGGATGTGTTTTCCCATACAAGTCCYATCTATTCTACAATCTTAGCAATCCCCCACTTTTAGGGTGCTACCAGCCCCTGTAGGTACAAAGCTACGATTAGACCCATAGCCCAAACTGTCTGAGTCAATAGCCCATGAAGCCAAAACCTGAATGGTCTATTGACTTGTAGACCATAATGGTGAGAGGTCTAATCGTTTTAGTGTAACAAAACGTATAAACAGTCAAACAGGGATACAAACAATTTTGAAATTAGGTCGAAATAATTTATTTTTTTGTGTTTTAGTTTTCAAAACTAGCAATTTTCGGTACTAGAGGTCTATCAGTAATATAACACTAGTAGCTCAGCAGCAAATCAGAGCGCAAGATTTTTGATAGTCCATTAATAGTAGGTTTATACTATATAAGTATATGTAATAGGACTCCATGCTGTCCAATTAAGAAATAATTGGACGAGGAAAATTCTGAGGACTGACAAAATTGGATGAGGCCGTAGGCCGAGTCCAATTTGGCAGTGAGAGGAATTTTTCAAGTCTAATTATTTTTTGATTGGGAAGCATGAAATCCCATTACCTATTAATTATATAGGTGCCTAATTAATCCCATATCAACAAGACCTGTCCAATTAAGAAAATAATTGGACAGTTACCTATATGGGATTAATGAGAAGCTGTATAATAATAATATTAATTCTATCACATGACTACCAGAGTGGGAGATCTCATGAGATAGCACAGCGCATGCGCAAGATCATTGAATAGTTTGCTTTGCCAGCAAGGTCACRTTTCGAAAACACGGAATCTTGAAGATTTTAAAAACTTGCTGAGTCGAATGTTACGTGGTAAGCCTAAAAACAACGTAGTTGAAGCTAAAAGATTTCCCACTCAAGCTTGAGCATGTCGGACGACGCCAAGATGGTCGATGATGGTAAATGTTCACTGGACCCGCCAGATACTGGCTCAATGTTCGCTGCTCTCCTCCAGGAGATGAGGAAAATGAATGAAAATATACTGGCCATTAGTGAGCCTGTTGATCCAAGGGAAGAGTACCAAGAGGAACAAAACAATGCTCAAGGCAGCAGCGAGGAAGGATTAGATGAACAAGTCGCTCAGTTAATCCATACTAAACTCTCTCTTGAAAGAGAAGTTACCAGAAGAAAAGATTCAATCGAAGATTGATCTTTACCCTCGACCACAGAACATGACTGGTCTGAGGACGCCACATGTAAACCACCTCATATGGAATCAAATATCCACTATTTCGAGGACCAACGATTCCAAGACTCAAAAGTCACAAAATACACTAGTGGCTGGCGTTGTGGCCATGATGAAGGCAACTGACCTAATTCTTCAATCAGGACTTAAGGACAACAGAGAACTTGTCCAGTTTATTACGCTATTGCACTGACTCTGCAAAGCAATCACGACTTGAACGCCACACGACGCCGAGCAATGAAGAATGACCTCAACAAAGACTACGCGGCACTATGCAGTAGTTCCGTGGCTGATCAGACCTCTGAATATCTCTTTGGAGATCTCTCGAAGTTAGCAAAGGATATCACCGATGCTAATAAATTGACAAAGAAAGTTCACCCTTCAACATCGTCGCATACATGTACCAATCATAACCGAGATAATAGACGAAATTATGGCGGCAGAAAAGCCTACGGGAACCACAACAACTGCTTCGCTCCCTATCGGGGAAGAAATGATTTTTTATCCAAGGGCATTCCCTCTCAAAGCAGGAAGAGAGAGGGAAACACGAAACAGTAAATGTTGAGGTAAGACCAAATGATGTTTATACATTTATGCACGACCTTACGACCTTTAGAGCGGGCAAACTTAGAGAGTTTCTGCCCAGTTGGCATAAGATTACAAGCRACTCAAATATATTAAAATTTGTCGCTGGTGTAGAAATTTCCTTCGAAGAGGGACTTACACCTTCTCAAGCACACTACAGACCTAGTAAATTTAATGCTCAAGAAGAGCTTATTGTTCAAAGAGAACTGAAAACCCTTTTATCCAAAGGAGTAATCGAGCCTTCATGTCATGAACCTGGCCAATTTATATCTACAATCTTTCTCAGACCCAACCTGATGGTTCATTTCGTATGATCCTTAACTTAAAAGAATTTAATAAATCCATGGAATACCACCATTTTAAAATGGACACTCTGGATACTGTAACCAAAATGATAAAGCCAGGTTGTTATATGGCATCAGTGGATCTTAAGGATGCATATTACACTGTGCCTATACACAAAAATCACCAAAAGTTTTTGAAATTTGAGTTTAAGGGAAGCCTTTATAAATATACGTGTCTTTCCAATGGCCTATCAAGTGCCCCACGCATTTTTACAAAACTGCTTAAACCTGTTTATTCAACACTGCACAATCAGGGTCATATAAGTGTAGGCTATATTGACAACTCGTATTTGCAAGGTGATACCATCGCAGAGTGCAGGAAAAATATTCAGAGTACTACCAAGTTATTCACTGAATTGGGGTTTTGTATTCACCCCAAGAAATCAGTATTCCTTTCTACACAAGCTTTGATATTTCTCGGGATTATTCTTGACTCTCTGAATATGACTATATCACCTACACCAGAAAAGATCVACAAAACTATTAAGGCCTGTCATCAGCTTGTTGAAAAGAAAATGCCTCTCATTTTAGATGTTGCAAGGGTTATTGGTCTAATCATATCCCTTTTTCCAGGTGCAGAGTATGGACCCCTCCACTATAGAGTACTTGAGCATGACAAAACAAATGCTCTTGTAATTAATGCAGGGAATTTTAATACTCCTATGAAATTGTCAGAGAATTCTATTCAGGAGCTGCTTTGGTGGATCAAATATGCACCACAGGCAAAGACACATATAACATATCCTGCACCTTCTATGACCATCCAGTTAGATGCTTCAAAAAAGGGGTGGGGTGCAGTATTTAAGGGAAAGAAAATTGGGGGTAGTAGGACCCCATCAGAAGCTTCCAAGCACATTAATGTGCTAAAACTGCAGGCAGCATTTTTTTTGAAGTCTTTGGCAGACCATAGTAAGGAAATACATATCCAGCTCCAGTTAGATAACATAACAGCAGTAGCATATGTTAATAACATGGGAGGTTCCAAATCACCTGAACTAGATAATTTAGCCAAAGAATTGTGGGAATGGGAGATTTCTCGGAAGATGTAGGTTTCAGCTGTGCATATTCCCGGAATATCTAATGTGGATGCCGATGAACAGTCTCGGCACTTCAGTGACAAGCACGAATGGGCTCTAAACTGTATAGCTTCCCAGATTATTGTAACAGAATACCCTGAGCTCAATATAGACTTGTTTGCCACAAGGCTCAATCATAAATTAGATTCCTACTGTTCATGGAAACCAGACCCTGGGTGCTCCTTTGTAGATGCATTTTCACTAGATTGGCATACTGTATTTATAACTTTTATGCATTTCCACCATTTAGCCTGATCCCAAGATGCCTTCAGAAAATCAACAACGACAAGGCAACAGGAATTCTGATTGTCCCTTTATGGCCCAGCCAACCATGGTTTCCACTTCTTTTGCAGCAACTTTGCAAACTCCCATGGATCCTCTACCCAAACAAGAAATTACTTCAACACTCGGGACATCAGGAACCACACCCACTGTGGAAAAAGTTGAAATTGATGGTTTGTCCTGTCTCAGGAATTCCTTCACAAAATACAACATTTCTGGGAACGTTGCAGACATCCTCATGGCATCATGGCCATCAGGCACAACAAAACAATACAAGACCTACATTGAAAAGTGGATCGACTTTTGTGGTAAAAGACAGATTGATTGTTATTCCTCACAAATCAGTGAAGCTTTAGATTTCTTGGCGAGCTTATATGACAAGAACCTTAGTTACTCAACATTGAACACTTCACGTTCAGCTCTCTCGTCAATTTTACATATAAAAGACTGTGAAAACTTTGGTTCTCACCATCTTACAGTTCRGTTTATGAAAGGTGTCTTTGAAACAAGGTCACCCCAACCTCGGTACAATAAAATATGGGATGCTTCCCTGGTTCTAAACTACTTAGCTACCTTGAGTCCATTAGAGAAGTTAACCCTGAAAGACTTGACACTCRAACTGCTGATGCTGCTTCTAATGATCACAGGACAAAGAGGACAATCAATACATTTGCTTAATATTGCAACCATGCATCTGAGTGATACCTCTTGTCTATTCCAACTAACTAGTCACACCAAGACAAGTAAGCCAGGACAACCAACATCAACAATCTCTGTTCAGGAATTCGAGCAAGATTGCAGATTATGTCCCATCAAAACACTGAAAGAATATTTACAACGTACAAGGACTGCCAGAGGTGACGAACAACAATTGTTTATAAGTTTTGTTAAACCGCACAAAGGAGTATCTAGAGATACAGTATCTAGATGGGCTAAAATAGTACTGGAAAAATCAGGAATTGACACTAACATCTTTGCGAGCCATAGCACAAGAGCAGCCAGTGCTTCTAAGGCCAAGCAAAAGGATGTCCCTCTTGATGCCATCTTATCTAAAGTTGGCTGGACAACTGCTAATACATTTAGAAAATTTTATGATAAGCCAGTCATGTCAAGTAATGACAGCATGGCCTCTGCTATATTGAGAAATTAGATTACAAACAGAAACATTTAAATTACTATCAGTGTTCATTTTCCATTAGAACAAGTTATAGTTCACTGTGATTCTTATTATGATGAAAATGGAAGGTCTATAGAGACTTAATTATGAGATTTTATTGATATGAATTAATAAATATGTTTAAATATAAACATGCTTTTCTCATTCAATTGTGGGTGTTCAAAGGCTTTAAAGTCTTATGGGATCTCCCACTCTGGTAGTCATGTGATAGAATTGGAAAATTAAACGAGACTTACCTGTAAGTTGAAGTTTGATTGAGATTCTATCGCATGACGGACAAAGTTAGGAGATCACATGCCCACCCTCTGTATTATCCCTCCCATTAGGGGTTATATGCATATGGTTTGTTAATTCGCATATTAATATGCATTACATTTCAGTGGGGTGAGGTTGGAATCCATTCCCTTCTCACACCCACATAACTTTGAAGAATGATCTTGCGCATGCGCTGTGCTATCTGATGTGATCTCCTAACTCTGTCCATCATGTGATAGAATCTCAATCAAACTTCAACTTACAGGTAAGTCTCGTTTAATTTTCCAATTATACAGCTTCTCATTAATCCCATATAGGTAACTGTCCAATTATTTTCTTAATTGGACAGGTCTTGTTGATATGGGATTAATTAGGTATATAATTAATAGGTAATGGGATTTCATGCTCCCYAATCAAGAAATAATGAGACTTGAAAAATTCCTCTGACTGCCAAATTGGACTTGGCCTACGGTCTCATCCAGTCCTCGCAATTTTCCTCGTCCAATTATTTCTTAATTGGACAGCATGGAGTCCTATTACATATACTAATATTTATATTCCAAAGCTACTTATTATTAAAAGCTTACTTGGTTTAATTGTCTTGGGTTGACAGGTCCCGGAGACGATGTCTTGGTAGAATCCATGCCAAAAGATAAAAAAGGAAAGAGATTATACTCGTTTTGTAATCAGTACTCACGTTATATCGTTATTTTTACTATGAATTCCAATTTTATGAGCGCAAAGATGAAAGAAAAAATAGTCAAAGKAAAACAAGATGTATTGACTTAGTATCCTGGCCGACTCTCATTGTACCCAGAGTCCTCTTCGATCCCCACGCACTGCCTTCCGCTGACTGGGAATAGCGCAGGCTCTGGCAACAAGAACGACTCCACGCGGCTCAGCCGAACGTTTTCTTGATTTTTTTTTTCTTCACTGCTAATAATACGGAAACTGTTGTGATCCTTTTTTGTGATTCTATTTTTGTCTTCTTTTCTGGATCATAAATTTGCATGATTCTTGAGAGTTTTTTTTAAAGGATTACAACAAACCGGATTGGACATTTTGTGCTAAAGGGGTCTCCCCTAATAATTGGGCGTATATGATTAGCTTGAAATAGAACCTACACTACGTAGAACTACTATTCAGTGTTAATGATGGACTTTATGTGCAGTAACGAAGTGTGAAGGTTACAAAGCAATTGAAGGTCCATTTATTTTAAACCGCTGTTACGGTCAATGGAAGAACAACATTATTGTTTTGAAAAGCCGTTCACCAAAGTGTCTCAGACTTGTTTCCAGGAAAAACTGACACTTCTCCAAGAAATCGTTCGTCGAAACAACGTCATATAGTGGATTTTAGCTGATTATTTCGCTCGCTTCTACATGTAAAGGTATATAAACATTGACGTATTTTTCAAAGGGATTAACCTGATTCATAGTTTTAACCTTTTTAGTAAACATTCAGTGACGAGTGCCGGTCAAAATCGAGGACTACTAAACTAAATGTCGAGTGGATAGTTTGGCGTTGGGCTGCAGATATTGAACATCTTAAGAATTTGGGGATTTTTTATAGGACACATTTGTTTAATGTGTCACGGTGGCATTCCATTATAAAATTTATGTTTCCATTTGGTGTATTAATTTTGACRAATGCATTGCTCTCAAGTGTTCTGAATTCTTAACAGAATTTTAGAATATTTTAAAGACAGTTACTGATGACCGGGCATTTTCTCTAGGTTTTTGAATTGCTTTTGTTTCTTTCCACTAAATTTAACCACAGTTCCCATTCCACATTTAGATATATAGAGACAAATGATTTTATTCTTGAAATTATTCAACTGGAGAAATATAAAAAAAGGGGGATAGTAATGCTTCTGTGCCTTTTTATTTTTATTTTTCACAGTCACACTATGTATTACAAGGATGGAAAGCCTTCGAATGAGATTATTTTGGTTTTAGCTAAAGACATTCTTATGATATGGAAGAAGGTTGGCAGAGCACTCAAGCTAGAAGAAACTGATCTGGAGGAGATAGATCTTGATTTTACCGGTGTTTATGAAAAATCATACCAAATGTTGAGAAGATGGACTGAAAGTCAGGGATCTGATGCAACATATGAAGTACTTGCTAGAACACTTCTACATCCAACAGTCAATCGCTGTGACCTTGTAATAAGGTTTTGCATTACAGGTAAATAAAATCAAAGTGCAAAGCTTTTTCAGGAGAGAGGTAGTTGCAAGGTGGGTGGTGCATAATGGTATGTGCAATGCCATGTGTCACATAAGACATTAAAATTCTTTATCCATTCCAGTTTATCCTTCACAACTAATAATTGTATTTAGAATGTTTATGGTTTCCTCCCTTCTTAATGCACCAGTCAAAGTAAACCCTGATCCAACCTCCTCCCACCCACCCAGGGATATACATGGGGATTAGTATTGAATTGCAAACTAAAACTGACAAATGCCCCAACATATGGAGAAGAATTTTGCGGTAAGTAGCAAAAAAAGACACACTTCCTCAGGCAACTAAATTTGGCTTGGCAACTTACTTTTATAACAACTTGTTTCTATAAGAAAGTAAAATGCTGCAGCCCAAAATTCTCTGCTGCAACAATGGCCGCCGTCTTGGAATTTACAAAACATATCCCCACCTAATGCCCCACATTCCTTCGGCAGGGATGACAAAAAGCACGAATCCCCCACATAGTTGGAACTAAAAAAGCTGCTAAAAGGGTAACAAATGCCCAACAAATTCCCACATATCCTGGGGTGGGGGTTGGGGGGTTGGCGTTTACTTTGACTGGTGCATAAGATTAATTAACTACTAAACTCCAATAATTCAATCTGTTATTGATGGCTCAAACATGAGGCTGAGGCTGGCTCTGAAGACTGAGCAATCATGGAACTCTCTGAAAACAACATTAAATGAATAAAACAATTTACATGACATACCAAATAATCGTTGTGTGCCCTCATTTAGGGGTTTCAGTGCTCATTTGGGATTTTCAAGTGTCACCCTCTCTAATACAGCTATCATCCCCTCCCACTCCCCCAAAAGAAAAACGACTGACCAATGAACAAAGAAGATGCATATAAAAATTAATTTTGTGATTCCATTTTATTAGAGAAAGGAACTACTGTAAAAGAAGTTACAACTGGTATTCATCATTTATCTGTAGATGAAGGTGAGTGGGTGCAACCAGCTAAGCACATTTTTTCCATATTTTTATTTTTCTTTGATTGAAATCTGAATAACAACAGCTCCTGTGAATAAAAAATTTGCATGGGAGATGTATCTTTCTTCTCTATTCCATGACCCACAATGTCTTGCATAAATGTACAAACAATTTTAAAAAGAAAGCTGGTAAAGTTAACTAAAGAAGCTATTCTACATTCTTTGTAATTAAAACTGATGGTTTCAATCAGACAATGATAAGTTTCTTCTATAAGTTTATTTTACTCCCCAAAGGGACTGTTCATTATTATCAGGGAAGGNGGGGGGGGGGGGGGGGGGGGCTTGAAACTTTAGTGATGCTGAAAAGGGGCAGGGGAAACAAGGTATAGCTTATATGGGGGTGGGGGGGGGGGGGCAAACTCACCATTTTTCTACCAGAATGCAAATGTACACATTTCATCTTCAGATAGGTTGTTCTTCACCCCTTGATCCCCACTGAAAGGAGTGCTTGCCCAATCTCCCAAGCCAGGGGCTCATGTTGAAATAATTGATGAGTTTGAATTTTGGAAATAAACTGAGAGTTCTGAAAAAAATGTGCATACTGGGGAATTAAAAAAACAATCACACCCAACCCTTTCCACCCCTCTTCTTTGATAAACAATATCTGAATGGTCCATAGCAGACAATTATATGTCATGCAGTGGAGACATTATTAAATTTCATGATGCTAACTGTTGTCATTATTCAAATTAGACGACATCATGCCTCAATCAGTAAAGCCAATCATGATTTTGCCTGGAAAACCATTCCATAAGACATATGAGCGTGAAAAGGAATTGAAAATCTTGGATGAAATGTATACCAGTCTTGACACTGAAGGTTGTAATGATGATGTGGTAATGGTCTATATAACTGGTCCTCCGGGGTCAGGAAAAAGCCAGTTATCACGATTATATGGAAATTGGTATGGTCAGCGAGAGAGCAGCAATGAATCATGCTCAACCATTGTGGTCACACTGCATGCAGAAACACCTGAATCGCTGTTGGAGTCCTACAAACGACTAGCAAGAGCAATGAACATCAAGTTGAAGGATACAGCCAAATATGATGAGATATGGCAGCAACTCAACGCTTACGCACTAGTTGTCAAAAGAGTTTTGAGAAATAGCAAATACTACAGTTTTAAGTGGCTTTTTATCATCGATAACATAGTAACTTCAAATCCTCTCAGAGAATTTTGGCTGTCGCCTGGTTACGGATGGGGMAGAGGGCGTGTCCTTGTCACTACACAAGATTCTGAACTTGCCCCATGTGCGCATGAGCAAACAAATACCTTATCCCTGAGCCAAGGAATGGACAAAGAAGATGCCATCAGTTTCTTGTGTTTGATATCTGAATTAGACCGAGACAAGTTTACCAGCGAAGTTGCAGACATGCTTAACTATTATCCTCTCTCCCTTGCTTGCGCAGCGGTTTTCGTTCGAGACATGCGCAAAGAAAGACCTGCTGCCAACTTTTCTTGGGATAACTGCCTCTCTAATCTCAAGAAATATCATGATCGTTTGGAGTACTCCGAGTTTACTGAGCATAATATTTGTTATCCACGCTCTATGCTGACTGCAGCCTTTTGTTCTGCCAGTCGCATGGCTGAAAGTAGTTCAGTTCTGAAGTCTGCTTTCGAATTTTTGTCGTTATGTACTCTTCAGCCAGTGCCGCTGGATCTTTTAAAAGAGGCAATCCTTTCTTCCAAGCAACAACAAGATCTTATTCCTGACTTGGTGAAAAAGGAAATTGCAAGGTGTTCCTTGTTAATCTATCCTCAGAATGGAGCCCGCGGTATCGAAGTGATAACCATGCATCAAGTCATGCGCACTGTGTTTGTTCAGCTGCGTATGGAATCTTGTAAAGTTGCTATGGAAACGGTGGAGCCTGGAACGACCATAGAACTACTCGATCATCAACGCTTTGAAAATTTCTTGAGAATTATTTGTAACTACTACCACAGGTAAGCTAGCCTTTAATATGGTACGTGTACTGCACCAGYTGCCCTGCTTGGCAGTGGATATTGAAATTATTACGCCACACATAAGGCATTTGACGTTTGATTCCAGTAAGGGGTGGTCACAGGGTGCCCATAAAAAAACCCTTTCTAGCTTCTAATTAGTTGTTTAGGCTGCGTTCATAATGTTTGGCAGAGCAAGGGCGCTAGGGCAAAAATTGGTGGTTTTTTAGCCGTTAGACTCCGTTATATTGGTGTTTTTTTAGCCGTTAGAAACTGTTTAAACTGTTACTCATCTGTTCTGTTATGTGCGGGCTTGATTTATTCAGTTTTCCCGTCTATATACGCCAAAAATACTGCTGTGACCAACGGTCCAATCGTATGTAACGAACTACTGCTTCCTATACCTGCCTCGTGACCGCTTACGTAAGCGTACGCGTCGGTTAATATCGTCGGATTTGGATTAACTTATTAACTTATTAACCGACGCGTACGCTTACGTAAGCGGTCACGAGGCAGGTATAGGATACAGTAGTTCGTTACATACGATTGGACCGTTTAAACAGTTTCTAACGGCTAAAAAAACACCAATATAACGGAGTCTAACGGCTAAAAAACCACCAATTTTTGCCCTAGCGCCCTTGGGCAGAGGGGGGGCAGGTGAAATTGAGGGGGGATCGGGAAAATTTTGGTAGGAAAAAGGGGGGATGGGCAAATTGTTATAAGAAAAATGGGGGGATGCACAATTTTTGGAAGAAGCTACAAGCCTTGCTTAGGGGGGATCGTATTTTTTTGCATGACTTTAAGGGGGGCCGTTAAGAATTATTCTGGACATTTCAAATTTTCACCTGCCCCCCCTGCTATACATAACGCAGCCTTAGTATATAAACATTTGTTTAAATATTGTTAGTTGCTAATAAGGCGCATCTTCTTGATTTTGTTACCGCCTACTCAAAACCCTAGATCCGCCCATGCATCCATTAAAACTTCAAGTCACTGGTGAAAATTAATGGTACCGGCTTATACTAAATCTATTGTGCATAGCATACAGCTTTAACCAATAACAATATTTGAAAAATATTCCGTAGGTTCCGTAGCACTGACTATCAAGCAATCTCAATAAGAATTCTTCTGAGCCCTCACCTCCAAGCATGCATCGATACGGCACAAAAGCATGCAGACGAAGTGTTTATTGATGCGTCTGTTTGTCTGGCCGACAGTCTCATTCATACAATAGGAGGCACAGACTACCATCGAGTTCAAATCCTTGAACTCGCCCATGAGGTGCAGAAAAGTCTTGGGCTTAAAACTTTTTGTGCTTGTCGATTGTTGACGGATCTTGGCTACACTTACCGAGAAGCAGGGAAACTAGACAAGGTGATTCCTGTGCTGGAAGAGGCAATTACAGTCGTAGAACAATTTCAAGGTATTTACATTTTATAGCATTTAGAGCGCCGATAGATTATGCTACTTTTTTCCTTTTCAGGTTCTTCGTCCATCCGTATTTAATAGGTATTATTTCGTACCTAAGTCACCTACCTTCTTCTTTTTTTATTTTCTCTTCTTTCGAAATCCTTTTTTCTCCCTTTCCATCCAAAACTAGTTTCATGCATGATTATATAACTTTTTCCCATTTCTCTTTATATGTGGTTAAATAAAATATTTAAGCAAAGTTAGACTTGAACTAAGTTGCCTGTTATCGCAAGTATCTGTCATCAAAAGGCTATAGCTTCGCG